CTCAACTGCCCAGGCAGTGGTTCAGCTTCAAGTACTTCAAATGGAGTTACCACCGCATAACCCATTTTTCTAACCCCGTTAACTATTTTTGAAGAGCCATCTACATAAAAAATCAAGTCAGGGTTGTCTAAGGGTAAGTCACTGAGATCTGCCCTGGGTTTGTCTGAAAATGCTGCAACTTGAAGGCAATCGTGGGAGTCTGGTTCACCGTCGTTGGGTAGAGGTAATAGGGTGGCTGGATTCAGGGTATTGCATCTTTCTATGACCAGGTTTGTGGCCATTAAGAGTGTGGTTTCGTATTTGTTCATTCTTTGATGAGAAAAATGTTGAGTATTTTTCTGGAGGAGGAGGAGGGCCACCGCATGTGGGGCCTTTAGGATAAGGGGGTATCTGAGGACTAGTTCCTGGGCTTTCTCAACTATTGTTGCAGCTGTGGCCACTGTGTGAAGGCATCCCACTTCCCGCTTTGCCACTACCTCATATCCGTGTCTTTCGCCTTTTGGCCAGGCTGCCACTCTATCAGCTTTTAAGAGGCAGACGGATACCCTTGGACTGCTACCAGAATCCTCTAGAGGAATAACCAGAAAACCAGAAATGTACTGACCTGAGGTACATGCCAGTACTATCCCTTTACCCGATTTGAGGATCCTGCCTTATTGGTCCCGAGGGGACCGTCCACCTCCCGAGACTGACCCAAGTAGGTGAACTCACCTGGTACGCGCTGGGGTGTCGGGGGGGTGGAGGTCTCCAAAGGTTCCAAGCTAGATGGGTCCCATCTGGGTTGCCAGATTGTCATGGGAGAAAACTCCCTGAAGTTCGGTGTCTAGCTGCAAAGGAACCAGGCAACACGGGTAAAGGCTTCCTGCAGTTTATTTGCTCGAGCAAAGACCATAAGCCAACAAGGAGGCAAAATGGCCCCGACTAAAAGGCGGGGCGTTCTTTTATACTCTTTTTGTTTTTTGTTTTAAAAGGCAAGGCATCAGCAGTAAACAACATTTCCATATAAGGTAACACCAAACCCACATCTGTGCATTTTCCACCAACTCTGGTACTTTTCCACAAGCGGCGGTTACAAAAAGTAGGTCAGCAAAACTGCAATGCAATAAGCTATTCTTGAACTTTTGAACTCCCTGAGTACGTGACTGCTCCACTTTAGGGTGGTGGCTTCCTTGCCCATCACACCAGCCTCACATCCCTGGTGGGTGAGATCAGGCAGGGAGAGCCCAGAATCATCAAGAGCACTGAGGCAGGGCCCAGGTCAGTGGAAGGATCTGTGGCAGCACCCAGATTCTTGGTCGAGGTCTGAGGCTGCATATAGGACCCAGCATGAAGCTCCAGTGGGGTGGGGTCCTGAGCCTTGGGGAGCTAATAAGGAAGCTCCCGGGGCCAGGGATAAGAGGATAGCCCTGGGAGGGCTTGGGGACAGGGCTTAGAGCCCTGATTCTAAAGGTGGGCCAGGAGCCCCAAGAGTGTGTGTGGGGTTGGAGCCCAGTGTGTGGGGCCTGGGGGCCAGTGTGTGCGTGTTTGTGTCAAGAGAGAACCCAGACCACACCCAGAGCAGACACATGCGCGCACACACATCCAGAACCAGACACGTGTGTGTGTGTGTGTGTGTGTGTGTGTGTGTGTGTGTGTGTGTGTGTGTGTGTGTGTCTGTGCGCGCGCGCACAGACACAGAGAACCAAACAGAAGCAGACAAATACACAGAACCAAATTTGGAGGTGCATGGAGCTGGGCTCCTTGGCCACTGGACAAAGTCTGACCCAACAATGCCCTGGTCCTGCCAGAGCCCCATAGCTGGCCGAGGCCTTGGCCCAGAGCCTGCCTATCAGTCCAACCGCCCACACAGCTGAGCCTGCAAAAGGTGCGGTGCTCCTGGGGAGGGGCAACGCCAATTTCACCCTGGTGCGGGGCTGGGCTGGGGCTGGGCTTGGAGTGGGTGGGAGTCAGGCAGGCTCAGCTGTAAACCATGCTGCAAGTAGCCTAGGCTCTGTGGTTGGCAGCAGCTACCTGCGCTGGCAGGGGGGAAGAGGCCACGGTTGCGCTGCCTCAGGCTGCTCCCCCACTGTCTGCTCTGAGGCGTGTGCGCACCTGCCAGTATGGAGCTAATGCCGGAGCCTGGAGCAGATGTTTGCAGCCTCCTGGCTGCAACTGGCCCAGGCTCTGGGTAGCTGCTGCCAACCACCGAGCCCAGTCTGCTAACAGGAGGGCTTGCAGCCTGGGTTTTGTGGCTGGCAGCAGCTGCCTAGAACCTAGGCTGGTGGTGTTGTGCGGAGCAAAATGGCCTCGCGCGCCATGCTCAACACACATACTGGGGGTGGCTGAACACTGCCCTAGACCAACACGGCTATGACTAAAAACCCAACAGCAAACTCAGTAAGTCAATTAAGACTCCTTGAGGGTAACTTGGGTTTTGCACATACCGCATCAATGAGCTACCTCAAAAAATGAGTGTACATTTTGAACACTTT